ACAGTAGCTAATGGTTCCCACCAGGAGCTCTGCTGCTGTCAGAGATGGAGGTTTTAGAAAGAGAACTTACGTTGTCAAAAAGTTGATTACTTTATAGAGAGTTTCTAGAAAGTGGTAATAATTATAGTTTTCTGGCAAACACAGTCTTCCAGTTCAATTAACTTGTTTGTAGTGGACAGAATTTTTTTTTTACTCCAGTGTAAATAATTGCAGTGTTTTTATTTCTCAGCAAAGGTAATTAAGTCCAAAAGTTGGTTGTAGTGTACATTGATTTACACAGAAAGACTCAGCATCTGCCTCACGTAACACAACAAACAGATATATATATATATATATATATATATATATATGCATGCATTCACATACAAACACACGCCCAAAAGCTGAATTTTACGTTTCCTATACCCCTTCAGGCCCTGAACTAATCACTAGCTTGAGGACCAATTACTGTTGGCAGTTACGTAACATCATTGCATCACCTTTTTCTCTCTCTCTCTCCATCTTTCTGCTTGTGTCTTTTACACCGTGGGCGTCTGAACAACACATCAAAGTCACGATCAGAGAGTTTATGAATGTCATCAGCAGGGATGCTTCTCCATCAAATGCTGTGAACGTCCGGCAGGTTTGTGTGTGTGTGGGTGTGTGGGTGGTTGGTGAGTCCATTAACACGGCCTAAACTGACATTTTCGGAGGCGATTGTCTCACTTGCATCACCATCATGACTCTAATGAGGTTAAAAAGTAAAAAAAAATACCAGTCTCTGTTTATAGTAGGTCTGATTCTGTTTAAAGCACCAATCTGTCAGTGTGACACGTCTTCTCGTGTCTCACTCCACTGCTTAAAATAATTTTCGTAGTCACCACTTTCTAACTGAATACCAGCCACACTGAGCCTGCCCTTAGTAATTAAAAAAAATCAAATTAACTAAGCTAAACAAATTAACTTGGTTGTGTACGAGATGGGCATTGACAAAGAGTCAATCTATAATGTAATATAGTTGTAATATATATCATTATGCACATATTTTATATAGAAAAAGCAGTCTAGTAGTGACTTTTGGAGTCCAAGGTAACGCTGTAAACTACCACTAGCAATCCATCTACTGGACTTCCTGTAAATTATAACTGCTCATTCACCAAAAGCCCTAATAACATGTTAGCAGCACAGATTGGCTGGTTTTACAGCAGGGTGACATCAGCTCACTGTCCACGTAAACCCCATTATTATGGAGTGGCATTAGCAGATCATGCTCACCTGTTTCTGTAAAACCAAAAACACCACATATCCAGTTCATGGCTGGAATCCCAACACCACTGACATCATGGTTAAATGTTGGCCTCAGCGACATGATATTGTTTACATGTAAGGCTGCTCAGGGAAATTTCACCAGAACAAATGACTTGGGTTTTGTGGAGACGTGGCAAAGTTTGGCCTGTGTTTGTGTGTTACAGTTTGTTTAATAATGTGTCATCTATACTGGTGTCTCGGTGTGTTTGTATCCTGGAGTCTGTCTGACCTCTGACAGTCACAGCTGTAATCCCCCTTCATTTACAGTGGAATGGTCTTCGCAAAACATGTCATAACACACACACAAATGCTCACAGACATTCTATCTGCATTTTAACAGAATGCGTGTGTGTGTGTGTATAAGACTGGTATACTGTTATATTACTAGTATGAACCCATGAAAAGAATCCAAACATCAAAAGGTTTCCAGTCAGTTTACGGTGATAGATTTCATATCAAGTTAGTTTATATAGTAAAGCTCACTCAAAGGAGTTTCAAAGGTTAAATAGCTTGTTTGAAGCAGACCATCAAAAACAAAATCCAGAGTTAGACCTAATTTCAACAAGCCAAGTTGTCTGATCTCTAACCATACTAAAGTGTTTGGCATCTCATAACACTAGTGATCTGACCCACCAAAGAAACCATAGATTCATCTTTGATTCTATATTATTATCATCCTCATCATCGTCATCCCTCCTGCATTCCCAACAGCCCCTAGGGCATATCATGAGTGATTAATGAGAGGAAGACTAGCAAAACTAAACAGCATGTCCTGCCAACAGAGAACAGGATTTGTAATAACACTGGTGTTTTATTTTAAATCCTATTAAATCCTCTGTAATCCCTGAGACACGTTTGACCGATGATGTGTTCACAGATGCAGTCGCAGCGCATGTTTTTCCTCAAAAGCTCTGCAGGATAAACATCCACAGGTTAGCCAAGAAAACAACAATCAAATGATGAAAACAGCCAGGTTACCCCTTTAGACTGTAATCATGCCAGTGTACATCCTCTAAACTTGATTTGGATTTTAAAACAGTTTTAACAGTTGAAAAAAACAACAACAGGTGAAATCAAGCCTAGTTCAATTACCTGAACTTAGAGGTTACTGTCAACTGTTAAAAACGGTTTTAGGTTTAACTAGTGTTAAAGTTCTGTGAGTTGATTCACTCAGTTCCGTTATAAGTGTTGGGTATGGTAACACATTTCAAGCCTAGCTACAAGGAGTTGGCTGAAAAACAATAATGACTAGACTGCGAAAAATAGTCCCCAACAAATCTTTGTACACAGTCCGCCCAGTCTCTGTTTCTGAGTTTACATTAGGAGGGATTCGTTAGGGCGTCGTCACAAAAACACGCACTCCCACAGACATACACATTTACCTTCAGGACTTTAAATACGTTTAAAGCCAGTCAGTCTATGGAAACAAACAGGTTGTGTTTTGGTTTTTTGCTCCAATGACATGTAAACACATGAAGTGGGATTATCTGTTTTAGATTTAGGATAAATGTAAGGAGTTCCTATATAAAAACAACACATAGTATGCATTGAAGACTACAACACACTGCATCGTTTACTTTATGGGGAAAATAAATTCAGTCCTGTCATGAATCTTCAGAGAAACTTTATAAGGCATTGTTTATGGGGTATTGTTTTTTTTGTAGTTGTTTGAGTAACTTACTTTGCTAATCTGTGAGCACCCCCTACTGTGAAAGACAGCCTCAGACAGCAGTTGGCTTGAGTCAGGTGATTTTGGTGAGGTTGTCTTCACTGTATTACCTTAGTATTAAATGAAAATGTCCTACATCGGGAGTCTTTAAAAAAAGTTGTCGAATCACTGCGCCAAACCAGTGCAACCTTTTGCTACTTACAGCAGTAACTTTGAAGTGGTTATGTGAGTTAAGTGTTTGCAGTTCTTTGTTCTGAGTTATTTTACTATCTTTGGTAGTAATATGTTTCTTGGCCTGGGCGAGTGTGCAGTTTACAAACTTTAGTTTAATGTTGGAAAAGTCTGGAAAAAACCCTCCTTGATGGCAGCCATGTGTAAACTGAAAGCCAGCGTCAGTGTCTGATGGATTTTAGCAGCAGGTGGCCCTCACGATGCAGCTCTAAATGTTTGTGAGCACCTCCATTAAATTCAAAAAAGTCTTGAACTATCCCTTTAATTGCATTACTGTGTAGCATTATGTGGGTGTGAGAAGCCCTCAGTTAAGACTATAAGGCTGCGTGGGACAGTAATGTTCTGCAGATCCTAAGAGTTGACGCCCTCCTCGGCCTTATGGCCAACACATGTGAGTCAGCTGTGTTAGTAAACACGCACACGCACGGGCACGCGCACACACACACCCTGGGCAGCGTGACACGCTGTCGAACGGTTGATAAACACAGGTGGAGAGGAGGCATCAAAGCCGTCCCACTGCCCAACCACAGAAATGTCCCAAACGTCAAACTTGCTCATCGTCAGTGAGGAGAGAGAGAGCAAACCAGTGCAGGAGGAAAAGAGACAGAGTCTGAGCTTTGAAGTTTTAGTCATTTTCAGTTTCTACATCGGGGAGGATCAAAGCAAAGAGAGTGCCATCACGTTTAGAATGCAAAGTCTTGCCAAACATGAAAAGAAAAGAGTGGATAAATTGACTGGTGGATCAACAAAAAAGAGAAACATTCACTTTATCATTGTCCACGTATAACACTGGATTTCTAGCCAAAGCGTCAGAAACACAAAGTTTTAATCAAAATGTAAATCCAGGGATTTGGGAGGGAACCAGGCTTCGTCTTTTCAGGCTTGAGGAAATCTTAGCGGGTCATAGGGGGAGAGAGAGAGGCGGATAGAAGAAGGTTCCACTAAATGTTTCTCAGAACAGCTACACTGAGCAAGGGTCCATTTTCTGGTATTGGCAAAACTGTCTGCACCACATACCAAACGCATCGGAGAAACAAAGCCTAAAAGAGAGCCGTTGTTAAAAGGTTCCGGGCCTGAAATCCAGCCTTGAGGGTCGCCGCAGTTTAACAACTAGCTTTTAGAGAATTTTTATTATTGTTACCAGAATTTTTGGAACATGATATTTGGATCAATTTGTATTGAATTATATAGAATATGGGTCCATGATGAAATCCAGATAACACATGGCAGAAATGCTTACAACAGCTGCCAGTCAGAGTCTGCATGCAGAACAAGCCCACTTCCTGCTGTCGCCACAGTTTCTCGCTCAAAAGGGGAACGAAAGAGAACTTGCGAAGGTGTTGCAATTTTACTTAAAAGTTATATTTTACTGACCTTAGCGATGGAGTTAGCGATCGAAACTTTAGGTAATAGAAATAAATTGAAGCAAGCTCCTTTTTGTGGCACTGTAATTATCACTACTCCTGATTGACAAGTAATCACATGAATACATTTTTAGACTTCATATATAATTATTTGGACACAAAGCCTCTCATCATCAAAATTAGAAGTCATAAAAATGTGCTGTTCGCAGTGTAAACCAGCCTCTGTGTGTGTTTTAAACATTTTCCATAATGTGTTTATGTAGAAAGCATTTTCTGTGGCGTTTTTATTACAGTTGGCAGAAAACTTTTGCCTGAAGGAACAATAAAGAGGGAGGAAATGAGGTGAAGCTGTATTTGGTTCTGGCTGGTTTGATGGCGGCAGCTGTCACAGTAGTGGTGCTGGTGTCGCGTGCTGTGGCTGTTAGAACCAAATAAAAATGGACTGTGAAACAACACAAACAGGACGATAACAACGTAAACAAGAGGAGCAGCTGCTGCTCTTATCCCTCATTCTTTCTTTTGTCATCTTTTCTTCTTTACAACACTAATTTTTATGGCATGTTTTTCCTCTTCAAAGCCAGACCACTCTCTTTCTCATGGGACAATAAAGTTTTGAGCTAAATTGAATATGAAGTGCCAGCTCCTGCCTCGGTTCTCAGACCTACTTTATTTATAATGAAAATGTGTGAACAGTGTTCAACAATTTTGCCTCTTAAAACAATGACCTTAATAAATGACCCTTTTATGTCTATTTACATAAACATTAAACACCGTTTTAAATTTAATGAGCCACTATGGGAATAAGAAAGCACCCCCAATAACCATATTTTAGCCACTGAAAAACCCAGCTCATAAAATCCACGTCATCTTAAATTTACGATATATAAAAAAAAAATGTGTTAGCTGCAGTAATTGGCAGAAAGAAGGCCCTCTTTGAAAGGTAACTGGAGTTTGTCCTGCGTTTACTGTTCTACATGCAAGGCTACACAGATTGTTATTCATTATTGAATTAGTTTTCAGGCGTTATGTTTTACTGTGGTTGTGTAAGTTTCTTTGAGCAGATTTATGTCAGTGACACAAATTGACCGCATGAGCATATTAGCAGCCTTTGTGCCTCATGGAAAAAATAAAAATCCGTCTGGGTAAATAGAGAATGTTTAACCTTTTAATGTTGTATCACTACTACTGTCAAAGACTGTGATACAGCAAATATTAAATAAGATGTATAAGACATCTTAAATAGTATCTTCATTACAGTTGGATGGCCAGTGTTATCATAACTATGAATTATTAAGCTTGAGTTTCTTTCACCCCAGTATATTACATTTGAATTAACAGTAGAAAGGAGTTGAGTTTATTTTTGGGGCAGTGAACACTGTCACTGTCAGATTGATTCACACTTGTTGCTGTAGTGAGTATTTGTGGCAGCAGGACAGTGTGTTTGTGTGCACGTGTGCGTGGATGGTGATGAGAGAACATGTCGCTCAGTGTAATCGTGTGACTCACTGATGTGTTTTTAATGGTTTTTGGAAAATGTGGAGGAATGAGATGTATCTGTGTGCGTGCGTTTGCACGTGCACAGCCTGATCTGCTGTTTACTATGGAGTGATTCATCTTCCAAGACATAGAGCATCTTTGGCTGCTGCTCACACATCAAAGAGGAGCCAACTGTTGCGGTTAAAGGAGGAATACTTAAACAATCCAACACTGAAGCTAACATGCATAAGCAAAACATAAAAACCTAATTGAATCTTATAATTACCAGGAATGACATGAACATAACATCTGAAATTAGCCTGAAATTTAATACACAGCACAAAAATGACTGTAGAAATGAGGTGAATATGACACAGGAGCATAGGCCCTTTATAAAAACAGATTAATTAATCAAAATTATAAATGAAGGTCAAGGTCAAGAATGAAACCAAAGGCAGGACCGCAGCATGAATGTACACACAGCATGACAAACGTGTCTAAATATGGTAAAAAAACAGAGGATAGAACGTTCTATTTTTCTTAATCATTTCTGTTTTAGTTTCTGTATTTCTCTACTATCCTCCTCTCTAAATGTCAGAATGTTCTGCTTACTGTGAAAATTTTGGGGCGTGGACAAAACTAAACACTGGAAGATGTTGTAGCAGGGTTTGGCAAATTTACATTTTCCTGACCTTTCGTGAGGAAAAACAGAATCAGAATCATCAGTGATGAAAAGCTCCATCAGTTGCGGCTTCACTAAAGACAGGGAGGCATTTCCAGTGTGAGAAGATGAAAGGAAACTCCAAAGAGACTCTAGTTGACTGCAGCAGAAAGAAAATGGTGAAAGGAAACGTGCTAATTGTGGTTTATTTTTGTATCAGACGCTTTGATTCAGACTCTGTTTCTGTTCCTCAGCTGTTGTGATTGGTCACTTCCTCTCCTCTGTTGTTGGAGGCCAGTGAAGCCCAACCATGCATTTGGTATTTTGAATCCTAGACGACGGAGGCAGAGACAACAGATAGGACAATGATGGTCTCTTCTGTCCGAGGTTGGGACAAGAGAGGCAGGCGGATGAAAGACGACTGTGGAATGTCGCTAATGATGTGTTCAATTAAGTTCAATTAGCCTAATTGTCCTCTGCTTATGTGTGTGTGTTTGTAGCAGCTGTAAATTCAGACCACCATCGTCTCTTTGCTTCCTGACTCATCGTCTCTGTCGTCTAAAAATAATTACTGCAGTCCCTAAACGCATCATTTCCTCCTGACAAAAGGACAGGACAAGGTTCCAGGCGAAGTTTTCTCACGGTGTTTGTGGCATGAACGCGACTTTTCTGTTTTTAGCTTCTTTGTGTTTTTTGGTCTTACTGCATTAGACGATGTTCCTGTCGCCCATTTTACTTTTTCTGTCTGAGAGAAAAGGTGTGATAGACATAAATATAATTTGGTCAGCTCCTTTCAGGAGTTATCTGCCCCCTAGTGGACAAAAGCAAAACACGAATTGTTCATTATTGGGTTTGGTTGGGTCGAGGTTCAACACCTAGTTTACACGTTTAGCCAGAACCTTTATAGTCATGGCTTTTTCCCACTTTCAACTAGGCTGCTTTGTTAAATAACAGACAAAGAGAAATTCTCAGATTCTCAGTGTGATTCGATTCAGAGTATGTCTCGAGTTCTTAGTCTGTCTCTAATTTTTGGCATACTTCTTCTTGTTGATTGGCTGCTTATTGACTGATTCTGCTTTGATTCACTCAGTTAAACTCTTCTCCAGCTGTTCCTCCAGAGTCTAGTCTCCAGAGAAACCACATAAATACCAGGCTCTGCCTACTCAGTCTGACTGACAGGTGAGCTTAGGAACACACTTGTTACTCCTGGTTTCACAGACACTTTAGTGAAGGTGTTTTTTAAATCACGGATGAACAGTGAACTCAGAAAATGAAACAGACCTTTGCGCACACACACACACATCCACGATCATTTTCTATGTAAAGGTGTGTGTGTGTGTGAGCTTGACCCACCCTGACCTCTTGTTTAAAGGTTATAAAGTCAGTTAAAAAGGGGTGAAGTTTAAGGTCACTGGAGGATGACACCTCGTATCTAAGTGTAACCTGCAGTAGCGCCCGTGAGAGAGCATGCAGAAACATGCGAGCGTGCACACGCACACACACACACACACACGCACTACTGCAGCACTGCAGCCAGTCACAAATGATTATTTTTGTTTTTCTTCATCCATCTGTGAATTGCTCTCTCTGCTACCATAAAACATGTTTCTGAATTCATGGATGTTTATATAAACATATAAAAGGAGAGAGAAAGAGCCCAACCACACAAACCTGTTGTGCTTTAAGCAGATAATGAAGTATTCTTGGGAAACAGCAGGGGGTAATTACAGAGGTTAGTATGTGTGTCTGTGTGTGTGTGTGTGTGTGTTTGTCTCCCTCTGTGAAAGAGAAACGTTTGCCTGAGTGAGTAAGCAGGTGGAAAGCAACCCTTTCTTACTACAGTGGTGTTCTCTTAAAAAAAATGAAATATATGTGCACATACTTGCTCAATATAGGTGCCGTCTATATATAGAGATTTTAGTTTAGTTTTTTTACCAGTGCAAATCTTCTCTCTTTTTACATCTATCATATGATACCATGTACATGTGAAGACTATTATAATCTGTATCTCAAAAGAGCCTTTGACCTTGTGAACCCTGCTGGAGTGTCCTCGGACAACTTCTTCAAAATGTGAATATTTTTACATTATTCAGTTGACCTAAACCTCAAATTTTTTTTGCACCCATCCTCTCTGAATCCAGAGGTTAGTCCCTGGTCTCTAATGTCCTCCTGACATTGTGTGGACCTGCCTACATGTCCAATTAGCATCACTGTGTCCTCACAGTCTCTGAATGTTCTCACACTTTACAGCATCTTCACAGCATCAAAATGTACTTGAAAAGATCAAGATCTTCCCTCACGGTCTAATAAAGATACAAACAAAATGGGTGCACTCACCAGCGTCAGCGAAGGTGATAATCTCTGTTGTCTCCTGTGCATCGCCATCGTCGCCTGCTCGAAGCAAGGATGATGCTGCTCCACCTCCTCGTCCTCTTCCTCCCCGCCCTTCAGTCTCCTCCTCCCCCTCAATCTGGACACTGCCATCTTCTGCCACCCGCCCAACATGAAGCTTTCTCAGGGCATTGAGGAGTGCAGCGCGGGGCACTGGTCGGGTGATGTTGGGCCGCGCCTGCAGATGCAGCATGTTAAGGATGTGCTTCTTCACTGCCTCCACCATGTCCTGCTGTGCTGCCACTGAATCATCTTCATGCTCAACCGCCGACTTCGGAACGTCTCCATTGCTCCTCCTCATCCTGGCCAGGGCACAGGAGGGGCAAAGGGAGTCGGATGCGTCAGCCTCTGGCAACATTTGTTGGTGAGGGTGCATGGTCAGAGAGTATGCTGGTTGGGAAGCAGCAACATCTGGGGATGAGCTACAGCTCTGAAGCAAGAGTAGAACAGTCCAGCTGATTAGGGGAAACACTGACATGATGACAGTGAAGAGTGCCAAACTGCAGCCGCAGATGTACAGACACAAACTCAGTCACAAGTACAGACGAGGAAAGAGTCCTTGATGAAGGAATAAAAGTGTCTTTAAAAAACAGTTTGTCTCCTCCTACTCCTCTTTCCCCTGGTCTCTCTCTCTCTCTGTCTCTCGCTCTCTTTCTCTCGCTGTTGCTGTCTTTGTGTCTTGCTTGCAGAAGTTTGGAAGTTGAGCTCACAGTCCACCTGCAAAACGGAGGGAAAAAAAGAAGCTGCAAGAGGAGAGAGGAGGACGAAGAGAAAATGAGTAATCCTTATCTTTTTGTTGGGGACAGATGGCTGGAAAGTGTGGAGGCGTCACAAAAAAGTAGAAAAAAGTAAATAAAAAAGAAGAGGAGGGAAAGTGGGATGTGATGAATGAATGAAGGAAAAACTCTGGAGCCAGTGAGCAAACAGACGATCCGTGTTCCCGCGGTGAAGTCGCGTGTGTGTATTTGACTAAGTTATCCCAGACAAGGGAGTTCCTCTCCTTCTTTCTGTCTCTGTGGTGAATGCTCCCTCGCTCACCAGTTGAATGGTTTTACCGGAGTGGGCTGGACTCGCTCTCGTCTTTCTTTCCCTCCCTCTGCTTCTCTCTCTCTGTCTCCCTCTTGCTCTGGTAGCCTCCTACCGTAATTATACCCCCCTTCTCCTCCTCTCTCATCCCTCTCTTTCTCTCCTCTCCTCAAGTCTCCTCCCATCTCCCTGAGTGACTCATTGCACTCCCAACTTTTACCTTCACACTTTATATCGGTCTTGCTGTATAAAACCTGGGATTTCTCCCTCCTCCTACCTCTCTCTTCCTCACCCCCTCCCTTTCCCTTTGCCTCTGTGAATAACGGGGGATGACTTTGGTTTCTGGCTCTGACTCTAGTGCGCTAGTAGGTGCGTGGGTCCATCCATGAGTGCACCCGTGTGTGTTTAGTCTGCTGTCGGCACTGTGACATCATACTCTCGCCTCGTCATGTTGTGGTGGCGGCATTTGGTCAGGCGGGAGGGTTCCTGCGTAGAGTCATCCTCTCTTTAAGAAATTTTATTGAACAACTACTGCTTCATCCTGACCAGTGGTCTCATGAGACAGAATGTAGCCCCTGGGTCCAGAACACTTCCTTTGAAATTTATAAAAAAAATTCTCTCAATAGTTGACTTTGTTATTTCAAGTTTGTCTATTACAAGCCAAAGCGTTTAATGATTACACATTACTAAGAGGTTTCCCAGAATTATCACTTTCAGATAACGGGTTCCCATGGGGATCACTAGAGCAGTTGTCCACTTAGTGGTTTTGCAGTTTTTACCCCAGACGTCCTTCCAGTGTCCCCATTGTCTTCAGTGGGGGTGGGTGGGGTTGACTACATATAATGTTGTCTTCTTTAAAAAGGGTGTTGCAAATTTCAAGCTTGTGGTAGGGGAAGCCTTCTGAGGGGTCACAGTGATACCCCCCCCAAACCCACATCTCCCTGTGTCCTCTTACACACAGTTCACAAATATGGCAGGTTGTGGAATAAGTGTAAGTGTTTGGTCTTTGTGCTCTATGTGGCCCAGTCACCTGCTCAGAGTGTGGCTCAGTGTTTTGCCTATTGCCTGACAGTACTGGGCTTCGTGACTATAAATAAAATAAACTGGTAGGTGATAAAAAATGATTCAGAGCACATTGTTAAGATTAAACCTATTGTTTTAAAACCTCTTAGTGAAAGCCAGAAGAAGGCTTATAAAGCAAATTAAATCAATAGTTTCTCAGATGTTTTTGTTTATATTAGTTTTATAATAGCAAAAGTGGGATTTGACCGTTTTACTGATCAAATAAGATTTTTTTTTTTAAACAAAAGTAAAAAAAAAAAAAAAAGTATTACGTCCTATGTTAAGCCTAATGTTGATGTGGCAGATGTTAGGTGTTACTTGTACCATAGTCACTTCTGAGCAAAAGGAAATAAAGAAGACGAGTAACACACCAATCAGACGTCTGGGATTCACCTTCTGCTGTTATGACCTCATAACAGTGAGTGTGCCACTTGTGATGTGTCTGCTCCCTCTGTACGTGTGCGTGTGTGCGTGTGTGTTGGCAGGAGAGATCAGCGTTGCCTTATAAAGGCGTTGCTGCGTGTTTGTGCAAATGAACGAGTCTGCACCAGCCCGTTCTTTAAATAGCTCTAACCTGTGAGTCATGAAGGTGTTGTAAGGCAGCAGTGGAGGTCCAGTCCAGACCAGAACACTGTCTAGACCAGAACCAAATCACAGCTAAGTCACACCGGAACCAGAAGATAGTCAATCGGCCTCAGTCTCTTATTTAGTGCGTGTTTATCATACTCACCATAGATTCCTTACCTGCTCAGGTGTGTGTTTGTTTTCCTGCTAAATGATTGGCTGATTAAGGGAGGAGTTTGCTGTAAGGCTGGATTGTTCACTGTAATTGAAGTGCTCCATCTAGTGGACTTGAGGTGAAACACTCATGTGACCTCAGAGAGCCTCCTCAGTCCTTCACCTTCATTCCTTCATCTTGTTTACTCCCAGCTTTCCTCTTGTATTGCATTGCTTCTATTTTCTGCGGTCATTGTAATAACAATTGACTCAGTGACTCCGCGTTTTTGTGATATTTCACTGGGAGGAGAAACTAAAGAATGTTTCTGATTGTTTAGAGAAGCAGTGATGATGATAAACTGTGTTTACACTGACTGACAATAAAAACCAGTTTAAAGTTTAAACAATACGTTTACAGATTTTTTTGCGTGTGAAATCTGGAGGTGTTCTTTGTAAACTTAGATATTGAACTTAGAACTTCCTCTGTGTCAGCCTTGTCTAAGGTCATTGTTTTCCCAGTACAGCTTCATCACCGTCTGAACATTTGGACACACTGTCACAAACTCCAAAGCCACGGTTAGTCTGCATAATGAGTGAATATGTGGTCACTTCTCAGAAACAGAGTCAACGTGAGCAACCAACAGTTCCTGTCCTTAATGTTCCTAACACTATAGAATGGGAGCCCTTAAATGGTAGTCTGCACGGTGATTTGGCAGAGGTTTTTACACCAGATGCCCTTTCTGACACAAGCCGACCTGAGATTGTTCTGAGTCATCTTAAAAAAAAACCTCTTCATTTTGTTAACCACTTTTGGCCAGAATGCTACCATTGTTGTTGCCCTTCATTTTGTTTGGCCAGAATGCTACCATTGTTGTTGAGTGTCCATAAACACCAGAATACTCCCAAAAGATTAAGAATGCCCCTAAATGCCACATAGCCTCCTGATCAGTTCCCTCTCTGTTCTTACCAACTCCCTCTTAATATTTCTTGGTAATTCAGAATACAAAAAAAAAAAAACAACCCACAAACACAGAGTTCTCGTCATTGTCCATAATAACACCAAGTTCCACAAAAAAGGCCCCTGAATGCTGCAGAAATTCCCTTCATTTCCCAATCCTAACCTCAGGTCTAAATGAAGCTAAATACGTAGTATATAAACCAACCTATTTTGTGATCTTCCCAAACAAAAGGAGTGAGGCGTGTGTGTGTGTGTGTGCGTGCTGACCTCTGTGGTTTAAATGCAAACCACTCATTATAACTGATGCGATGTTCTTAGTTCAACTTCATGGGTTTTTTATTTTTTTTATTTTAAATGATAGATTTGATAATCAGATGCTTGGTAGAAAAGTGTAAATAAACATTGAAGACCACATCATTGTTCTCTTTGTTTCCCAACCTCAGAGTGTTGCTCAGCTTTCCACAATGCAGACAGACTTGTTTAAGTTTCTTTGGTTTTTAACCAGACCCTAGAAATGATGGTGATGATGGTAATCTCTTGTTAAAACACATGGATTTCTTTGTTTAGTTTTTACTCCTTCAGACACAAACGTTGGTCTTTACTACTGCGTCTCCTCCTGTACGTCTGTCTTCTCCTTTTCTTCTCCTCATATCCAGTCCTGCTTTTCTTTGCACCTCCCTTCTCTCCGACCTCTAATATGCTGCCTTTTCTCATCTTTCCTCTTACCAGTATTCCTCCATCTTTCCTTTTGTTCTCCTCCCTTTTTCTCCATCACTGCTCCTGCGGACTCTCTGCAGTGTGTTCATTAAGCTCCTTTGTGTTTAATAATTAATTCCCAAATGAAACTATAGAAGAGATTTTATACGACCTTATTCATATTTCATGACTTTCATTTCTAATCATGTCTCATAAACTTTTGCCCAAGACTTTTCATGTTCCTAAGTTGGATTTGAAATATTTACATCCTGGAACTGCCAACATTTAAACGGTCTTACGTAATGTTGTGTCTTTCTCATGCCTGTTGGACATAAACAGTTAATCATTATTTATCAGTTCCAGTGCCTTTTTGCTGTTTTCTTTGTACCAGTGGGTGTTCATTAAATTTGTCGCCCACAACAGGGTAAACAGTAATAATGAATTCAATAAGGTATTTCTGTGAAGTTTGTTACTTTCAGACAATTCATTTACAATTAAGAGCTTAACAACTTTTCTGAATTCAAAAGGTGAACCATGAAGCTGAGCTTGAACACATTAAAGCCAAAGCTTGTTTACTTGGGACAAATGTGACCAACGTGCAGATGTTTAATGAGCACATGCTTGTTACTCTGGTTTCTCCTTCATGTTTTTGTTCATTTTCTTGGTGAAAACATCTGTCTGTCTGTGGTCTTTGAGTGTGTGACCACAACAAGGTTAGCTCTTTAATCCGGCCCTTTGATGACTCTGTTAAGATCAAACACACTTACAGCTGCTACAACATTATCACACTTTTCCTGACACTCAAGCATGTTAAGAGTTTGAGTGTGTGCACGCGTGTGTGTGTTGTTGGTAGTGTATCTTGATTGTCTGCCTGTAAATGTGAAGGAAGAATAATATAAATATTATAAACAATCCAGGCATAGATCTCAATGAAAAAAAACAAACCTGAAGATATATTTTAATTTACTTTTTTTCATCGGTTTATTGTTTGAGTAGATGTTTGTGCGCATTGTTTACTAAATGGTTAGATGGTTGCCTGTGTTTTGTTAGGTGGGGCAGCTAGCTGCAGTGTGAACCGTCAGCTTTGTCAATCTCTTGACGATCTTCCTGTATCATAAAAACTAATCTGGTTTTTGAGCGTATTAAAGATCTGATCTACTGCTGCCTCTTGTGGTCAGTTTACTAGAGAAACTACTTTTAACAGAGCTTGTAACAGTATTAGCGTTAGACAAAGAAAACTTTGTTGGAGGAAGTTTGTTTTTTTACTATGTAATTGTTGGATGGCGGGTATTATTCTGTCCCTGCAGGTGTATTTGTATCATTTCAAGCAGCAGAATGCAAGATGAAGTCATTGTTGATGGTGTGTCTCATAGTGCACTTAAGAAAGTATTCCTTTAAAATAGTTAAGTTGAGCCGATGAACATCAGTGTTTGATAGAACAGCCTCACTGACAGATCCACCCTTTGAAGAGTGGTGATGACACAGTGAGAGGTTTTAACACACACAAGGACACACACATACAGTACACTTGCACACCTGGATTTACATCAGGCTGTGACCACAACAAGGTGTTGACTGCAGTCACTTTCTTAACCGACTCAGCATAGATCAAACACTAAAGTGTACATCAGATGTGTTCCTTTGATGACTTCACACACAACAGAGAACAGAATAGTTATGACCTCAGATCCTGTGTTGAAGTCACTATTATCTGAAGTTCTCTTGCAGTGCTCTGCGCAGTCTTGATATTGGTGTTTTTCATTATTTGTAAATTAATAGGAAATGTAATCGGACTTTGGACTTACTTGATGGTATCTTTTTAAAAACAATAGCTCAGTTAGTGCTAAATGCCAAATGTGAAAAGAAAATTCTGTAATTATTTTCTCATAACTTAGTAAGGACTTACTAGTATCTAAAAAGAAAGTCTCGTCTTCTAAACTGGTAGAGACGGCATTAAGAACACATGCTGTTGTTTCTGTTTTTGTGCCTGGTCAGAGCTGAAGCTTCTTGGTACAACATATGATATTTCGGTCTTGTATTAACTGAACGCGACACCAAATTATGTTCCAATATTACTACCCAACAGCATTATTTATTGAATAATTCCTGGAATGCCTCTCTGGTCTGTGGGAAACACTGCTCTGATATAAAGTCACAGATGTTCTGTATGGGCATTGGTATGAGAAAGGAAAGGCTTTACAAACTCGTGTTCCCTAAGGTCTAATAGTCTTTTTATATTCTCACAGTGTATTTTCTGACAGGCTCTTGGCAGCACATCGCTGATGTTACCTTGCCATATTTGCCTTTTGGAGTTAAAATTCTTTTGCTGGGCAACATAGAAAAAACAAGACACCAGTAAGATTATTTAAGTTTTAAAGTAGTTTTATGATTAGACACATGAACTTGTCATCGTCATTCAGAAAAAAAACTTCTCTGCTCATCATGACCATAAATAGGTACCACACATTCAGGATGTGTGTGTGAGAGAGAGGGCTGCCGTTGTACGTGTGTGTTTTTCCAGCACCTGTAAAGTCTTCCAGCAGTGATTAGTCAGCACTGAACGCCCAGTGAGTGAGTGTGTGTGTGTGTGTGTGTTTGTGTTTGTGTGTGTCACGCAGATCTGCAGGACATGACTCAGCAGATACTCCTGTTTGAGGTGGGCTGCTTCACCACCACACACACTCGTTAGTAATGCAGCATCAGTCACATAAAAGTCTTCACGCACACACACACACACACACACACACATTCACTGGAATTCATCATCTAGGATCATCAACGTCATGTCAGACCTGCTGTTATAGCTTTAATGTGGTGGGAGACTTGGACTCATAGTAAGCGTCATAATTGTAATGCGTGACAAAAGTTTGGATGAGGATCATAGAACACATGTATGAAAATGTTCTTGGCCATGTAAAGCAAAGTCAAACAGGAGTTCATAATCACTCACTGTGAAAATATCACTCAGTCCCAACTCTTTTGTATTTCTTTTTAAAAGGAACTATAATTATCTCTAAAAAAAAACCATTCTCAAACAAATCATGAGTTTTGAATGTCAAAAATCTTAACTGGAACTAAATACTTTTTTTCTTCAGCATTGATTACTCCAAACCTAAAACCAGGACCCTCTAATATGTCCTTTTTAAAAAAACATTTTAAAGTTGACTTTTTCACCTCACGTGGTCATTTTTGGACCTTATTTAATCTCACGTGTTCCCTCTTTGGTTGCTCTTTATTTCCCAGGTTCTCTGCTGCACCTCCACTAACCTCACTTGTTTCCTGCTCACCCCAATTAAACCTCCCTTCCTTCTGGACCTGATGTCTCTCTCTTTTTTTAAACTCTCGTGGTCTTTTGTCTCCAGTGAAAATACTTTCCTTACTTTTTGGGACATCATTATACCTTACCTTCTCTTTTCGTCTTTTCATACCCCATTAAGCTTCAGAGAACATTCACAGAGATAACATCCTTAGTTTATCATTGTTTTAGACACTTTGTTTTTACTTTTTTTCCCCTTTGCACCTGAATGTGTGGCTGTTTATGTTTGGTCATGAAACCAGGTTGGATTTATTATTTTTTTAAAACAAAAACTATACCCTAATATCAACAGAATGTGTTTTATATATTCATGGATGGTATTATATTTCTCTTGAAGGGGGCAAGTTCATTTGAGTTGAATGTCCCATTAATGCCCTTCCTTCTTCTCATGTTTAAATTCAGTGACTACATCACACATCATTTCCCCCACAGTCATTTAGTATGTAGGTCGAACCTCTGTGTTCAATGTAAATGTCCCTCATGCATAACAAAGAGGAAGAGAGAGATGGTGGAGGAAGAGGAAAAGGCGCCTTGAAAAACGACAGATTGAAAAATGAAACGCCTCTAACCTGGGTATGTGTGTGTGTGTGTGTGTGTGTCCTAAAGTGATCCTGCCCAGACTGCAGCCCCCTCCCCTTCTACAGTCAATGTGAATTCGTTGATGCAGATCAACAGCTTTAATGAAGGAATGTGGGGCTAGGAAGGCAGGAGTGTGGATTAACTGCTCATGTCACATAGAAGGTAAAAACACCACGTCCTCATGCTGCCAACACCACGCTGACGTAACAGTTGTGTCTGCATGAGAAATAAAAAAGAGGCAAGAAATCTTCAGGAAGAAACAATGTTGGGCTGTTATTGTATTTGTACAAATTTGTCGGTGCTTCAGCGTACTGCTAACAGCTGTATCTAAACATGATGTTTACCTTCTATAAAATTATACAAGGCTGCTAGTTTTTATGCTAAAAAGCTAATTATTTAACCATAAAGGTGTTTTAAATCTGAAACTGCTGCTACAAAAGGATGTATTGTATGTATTCGCTCCTTCAAAGACAAGCTAACGGCAGTTCCAGGGTGAGTTGTAGCTAGCCTTAGGTGGTGCGAACAGTAGCGTCTGTGGTGATCATAAATGTTACATACAGTTGATTCTTTTCACTCTAAAGCACTGTGTGGGAGCAGTGCTTTAGCTTAACAGAGAGGAGGGAACAGTTGAAGGTGGTGTTCCTCTCAAAATAGATGAATTTGAAGACAGAGTTTGATTAATTGGCCGTACTGTTTTTTTTTTCCTTGGGGCCTTGGATCTTACATCCATGTGTTCGGCCTTTCCTCTCATCACACTTTGATCCTCCTCAGAACCAAACCAGAGAGCAGTGAAGTCACTGACCCAGAATTTGAACCGGCAGCCTGCGGGAATAATATGGCGTGAATCATTACTTGTTGCGAACACTGGGAGGCAAATGAGGCGAAAGAGAGTTTGGCGTCTTCTGAGAAGGGAAGGAGAAGTCACATTGAGGTGAACCAGGATGCTCCTCTGCATTCCAATCAGAAGCTTTGTTTTCTGCATCTAAAAAAAACCTGCACTCTTTGCGTAGTCTATCTTAGTATATTGGATATATATTAAATTATTACTATACTATATTACTAAATAACTTTTTGGAAGTTAGTTTGAATTAACCTTAGAAATATGTGAGTGATTCACAGATTTAAATCTGGAAGAAGTGTGTGTCAGCCTGGTTACAGCATATTGAGTTGTCCTCAGCACATCCAGTTCTGACAGTAATGCCTGAGTACTTAACATAAAGCTGTTTACATTTAGGGAGCCCACGCATTTTCAGTCTGTGTATTTTGAAATCTTCTCCTTCTTAGCTAAGTGAAAGTAGTCTAATGATAGAAGTCGAAGAAAGGTCAAAAAGTCACTGGAGGTCTGTTTTTTGATGTTACTGAACGTGGCTGGATGCTTTCAAACTAACGTGAACTTGGTTCTAATTAAACTCTTATGGCTACAGTCGGAAATGTCATGCAAGGACGTGTTCTCCTTATTTATCTTCAGCAACTGCTCCTCATCTCTTCACTTTGAGTCCCCAGCTGATCTCTGGGTAAATTTACATTCCTCCTCCTCCTCCACGTCTGAATGTAAATGCAGTGCAAGCGTTACCGGTGCAGTCATGTTTTTCTTTGCATCATATAAGTGTGATCTGAGGAAACTGCAGTCTGTGCCGTTCTGTTCAAGGAAAAGGAAAGACAGTATTTTAATGGGATTACATCAGTTGTCACATACATAAAATATTAGTAACTGTTGCTGCAACATTTTTTAATCTACTTCTCTGTCTTTCTTTCTGTACTAATTCTCTTACTTTACTTCCCATTCCTCCTCACCCTCACTTTACTCCTCATTCACCTGTTCTGCCCTTGGTCCCCTGACATTTCCTTTTTTCAACCTCCTCCTCTTCCTTCCTTTCCTCTGTTAATTCCACCATTCTTTTTTTTCTTATCTTTCATGTTCACTTCTTGCTAATCACCTTTGTGATTAGCAATCATCGTCCTCCTTCAGTGATCTCCTTCCCCTTCTGTTCTCCTCCTCCTCCTCCTCCTCCTCCACAGACAAATCTCTTTGTTCTCTGTACTTTCTTGGGTTTTATCTTTGTCCTTCAATGCACTGTGATGAAACACTGCACTCCAATTGGCTAATTGACTACCTGAGCCCTCCCGGGACGCCCCATGTTTCTAATCAGAGACAGAAAGAGACAAAGAGAGAGCAGCTGAGGACAGATATCACTTAATTCACCACATATGGACACAGCGCCGCCTTGGGGCCACATATTTTCTGACACTAATGAGTACAATTTATTCAAATTATTCTGACTGGCAACTCTAATAATATTTCCTCCATCCATTGTAAAATCCTGCTCTTTATTTCTTGCTTTTAAAAAATAAACAAATTGTTGTTTTACATATTGTTAAAGACAAATGCTTCACTGAGGTTTTAAAAGTTACAACTCTCGACTCCATCAACCTGCCACCCCTGAGGTACACAGTAATTACTGAAGCAAAATTTGAGTTTTGCTTGTTTAATATTTCTTTTAAAAATATTCTCATAATTCCATGATTTGGATTAGTTAAAAATAAATGCATTAGGTCTGGGAAATTCTATAAATAATTAATGCCGACAATTTTTCTATTTCACGTTAAGGCTTTTTTATTATCATTTTATCATTATAAATGTCTTTTGCTCACTGCTCTTTACTATGTAAGTCTGTTGCTTACTGTTGTGGTGATTACAGGAACCAGGAAAGAAGAGAATTCACCTTTTGCAAAACCCCCACCAACATCAGCTGCATGTCTACATGAACCCAGACTTTTAGAAAAGGTCAAATTTTGCTTTTGTTTTATCAAAAATTTTCATCATAATTTTTTGACATTTGAAATTAGGATTTTGCTGAAAACTACCCAAAAAAAATTTATTTCCAAAAATTTTTGTAAAAGCTTTAATATGATGAAAAATGTGGAGAAACAAAACAAAATGTTAAAATTAGATTTTTCAAAATCTTTCCAATTTTTTTTCAACGTTTGACTAACATGACATGCGAAATTAAGATTTTCCTAAAAACACTCCCCAAAAAAAAGTTCCCAAAAATGTTCAAAATGCTTTAATATGATGAGAAACGTGCAGAAAACATAAAATTTGAAAATTTGATTTTTAAAAAATTTTCATGAACATTTTTCAACTTTTGACCAACATGATATGCTAAATTAAGATTTTGCTAAAAAATCACCCAAAACCATGACTTACTATAGC